AGAACGATAAACTTGGCATTCTTGTATCAAGGATGACCCGTGTCGCCAGGTCTCTGTCTGTCTATGTGAGTGTGTTTTTAAGTCTCCAGCTTAGTTCCCAGCTCATGTACCCCAAACCAAACCCCGATGATAAACCTCAAGAAATCTTAAGAGAATAAATATTCCATGACACGATGCTGTGAATTTGGAGCTCACAATTAATACAAGTCAAGGGCTAAAGAGATGAACAGCAGTAAAGAGCATTTGTTGCTCTTGAAGGAGACCTGGGTTTGATTTCCAGCACCCACATGGCAGCTCACAATGGCCTCCACAGCTCATAACCCTGACTCCAGTTCCAGGGGATCTGATGCCCTCTTCTGGCCTCTGAGGGCACTGCATGCATGTGGTGCATATACATGTAGGTAAAACACTCAAACACATAAAATTAAAGATAAATAAATCTAAACAAACAAACCAAAACCAAATCCCACACGTCATCTATATATACTCCAGGCAAGTGAAAACGAAGTATGCTGTACATAGAAAGCCACCACACGCTGCTAACCATGGCTGCTTCCCTGTGCTATCAGTAGAGATAATACACACACACACACACACACACACACACACTGCCACCGCTACACCCCTTTTTTTTTTATTTTTATAAAAAAATTTCTTGGGCTGGAGAGATGCCTCAGTGGTTAAGAGCACTGCCTGCTCTTCCAAAGGTCCTGAGTTCAATTCCCAGCAACCACATGGTGGCTCACAACCATCTGTAATGAGATCTGTGCCCTCTTCTGGCCTGCAGGCAGAGTACTGAGAATACTGTATACATAATAAATATTTAATAAATAATAATAATAAATAAATCTTTAAAAAAATTTCTCCACCATTAAGCATCCAGACAGCCCAAGATCACAGAGAGTATTATTTTATCTTCCCTTCTTCTCCAGGCTCAGCAGCTGTGCCCCGCCCAAGGCACGTCCTGCAGAAGCTCTGGGGTCCAAGGCTGGGCCTGCAGTCAGTGCAGACAGACACAGTCAGCTTTGTCACCCCTTTAGCTAGGAAACCTCTCCTGCTCACCCCTCCCACTGACTCCGCCTACTGTGGTTATGTTTCCCAACTCACCTGGCCTTCAGGCTTGGCATTTCCTCTACCTGCCCCCCCCCCCCAACACACACACACACCTGTAGTAAGCTTCTGGGCTCCCTGTGTCACTGTGAATCAAATGCCACGGCTCAGTGAGGACTCCTTGGGCGGAGTTCTCTGAGACCCGCACATCTTCTAGCACTCCCAGAGTTCTTCCTGTGTCTCCCTTACAACAGGGGTCACTGTCCTGCACGCTGTGTGAGCCGATTCTCCTTGCTCCAGCACACGAGCCCCAGGAGGACAAGGATGTTTATCCATTTCGCCCTCTGTTGTAATCTCATCACCTGTGTGTACGCTGGCCATCGAAAAGTGGCTCAACGCATATCTGGTGAGTGAGTGAGTGATACACGTCCTAACAGTATTTACCTTGTAGCAGATACGGTGGGAGGAGCTTTGGTAGCTGCCTTCTGACGTCCAGTCTTCCAGGTGTTCTCAGGGAGGTAGCACTGTCTGTGTCAAAGACACGACACCCCAAAGTGGGAGAAATTTAAAAACCCAGTTGAGGCCAACTTGTTGTCCACAGGCAAAGCGGGGTTGGGGGAATGTAAATACCCAAGGGCCAAAGGTCTACCTTCTTTGGTTTCAGGTGTGGCTCAGGTAGCAGATGCCCCTCCCCCACAACACTGACACAAGGGTCTGGAGGTGTCTCAGGGGCGTCATTCCTCAAAAGCGGGCTTCCCTCTCGATCAGTCGTCCGCCAGAGAAGTCAACTTGCCGGGTACCTCGTCACTACTCACTGCTTCTGTCCCCCAGCCCAGTCTAGATGCTCAAGCTGTGTCTTGCTAAGTCACCAAGACATTAGACTTGAGTACTGGGAGACTGGTAGAAACAGGCTTTCCTGTGGTTTTCTTACGGGCTCTTAACGTTGACAGTGTAGAATCTGCCTCACAGGGCTGCTGTATGGATGCATGAGACCACGTGGTTCTCATTCTCAGCACCACGCCTGGCACTCAGGCTTGGCGAAGGCTTGCTGCTATAGCTAGCTATAGACGGGGAGGTGGCCGACGTCTGATTTCAGGGGGCAGACTAGGGTACGGGGTCTGGATTTCACTGACCCTACTTCAATCATCCACTAAACTGTTTCCTGGATCAGCACTGAGAATGGGATTCCTTGTTCAAGGTCACATGGCCAGGACTTCTAAAAGGCCTTGATCAGGAGACTTTTCAGGATACCCAACTTCCTTATTATGCCTGTTTCTGCAGGGAGGTAATTGTTGCCATCTTTGCCGGGCTGCGCAATTTGAGGTATAATTTACATAAGTATCAATTGCCACCATGACCAAGGCATGAAAAATAATTACCTCAAGAGGAAACTGGGGTTGGGCCTATGAACTGAGGCCTGACTCGTATGAGCTACAAATGAGCTGCCACCTTTGGAGCCCTGTGTGCCTGCTTGCTGGATCCCGGGACAGCTGCAGTCAACCTGAGGCTGCTTCCAAACACCTGTTACACAAGTTCCTGTAGGTCATGACTGCTGACTCTCACATCAAAGTCCCTGAAGAGCTGGGAGTGGCACCACCTCTGGAAGCCCAAGGCTGAGGAAGAGTTTGAGGCGAGCATGGGCTACACAGCAAACTCCAGGCTAGGCCGGATCTCTGTGGGCTGGGAATGCAGTTCAGAGGCGCATACTTACCTGGCATGCCAAGGGTACTGGGTTCAGTCACCAGCGGCACTAAATAAATGACCATTAAGAGTTCTTAGGCGGGCTATCTTCCCATCGTCCAATGCGAAAGTCACTGGTTTCTGTTTCCTCCACTGGCTTTGCTTCCTGGTTGCACTTGGCAGGCCTTCCTTCCCACTCATGTGAATGACCACAAACAACGGGTTTCAGCTCTTGCCCTTACTGTGACCAGGATCTGCTGTGCACATGGACCCAGGGGCCATCTCTTAGTCCTTCTGAAAAGCTGATGATGGCATCTGTGACATGGGAGGTCTTGCATCCTGAGGCAAGGGTACAAGTTCTGCCTGTTTCTACTACTATCTGGAAACAACACTGGGAACCACATTTGCTGGTCACAGACATTACTACTGACCAATGGCATGAGAGACTGATTTGGGGCTTACTAGAAACAGGAGACCAAAGACTGAGGAAACATGGCCAATGCAGGTAAAGCTAACCTGAGCAAAACTCCATATTCCATGTGTAATCAACACACTGAGAACACCGGAAGTACCCACATCTGGGATTGAAGCTCACCACTTTGCCTGCTTTTACCCTTGTTGTAATAACCTTAGCGACAGAGTCCTCGTCTGTATCTCCAGAAACACTGCAGTGTTTGAAGACAGACGAGTCTGGTGACAGACACCCTAAGACTTTCCAGAAGAAACTGTGTACAATAATGCAAAGGGCAAAAACTCTTGACTAAGACCTCAACTCTAATCCTGTTCTGTCAGGCTACCTGTGAGGGCACTGTGGTCTCCACATGCGTGTGCTCGGTGAAGCAGAAGGTCCTATCTTCCCTTAAAGACGGGTACACACGTGGAAAGCAGAGAAGAGCTGGCTATGTGGGGACGTGAGTACGGGCTATTGCTGCCATTGGTGCGTCTGAAATGGAGATATTTAATGATGCTTTGCAGTGCATTGCAGAAAGCAGTGGGAAAGGCCTTTGGCCTGTAACACATCTAATGCATGGTCCTTTTCTGTTAGCCTTGTCTCTGCCGCGTCTTTACGCAAAGCCATTTTGTCACCAGTAAAATTCAGGCTGCTTTTACTCTACCTCAGTCCTTTAGAGACTAAGAGGCAAATGACTGACTTGTTCTTGGAGAGGTGGCAACCGAAATCACACACGGTATCCTGACGGGATATTCAGGGATGGGGACAAGGGGCTAGAATGACACACCCTGGAGTGGGTGCAAGAGACTTGGGCTCTGCTTGGGCACTTTAACCAAGTGACTGCAAGCAAAACCAAGTAATCTGACCCTTGCAGCTCCTGCTTCTGACCTCTGCCTGGGAGAAAGCATTGCTCCTGAAAGACAAAGGCATTCTTCCCATTTTAATTAACTTAGTACCCAGCAAGGTCATCTCCACGTGAATTACAAACTACTCAGGGCCCATTTTCAATCATTAGCAGAATGCCTACCGACAGATTTTATTCTGACCTGAATTAGATTCACTGGATCCCTGAGCTTGTGTCCTAAAATGTGTTCCTTGACAACCTTAGCATACTTAATGTTATCTGAACGTAACGGGTAGCAGAAAAATTGTGATAAACAGAAAACAGCTTTTCTACTATGATCTAAGGACACAGTTCCCATGCGCATCTCTAGTGGGTCCCGCTCCGCTCCTTTCAGGTTCCCTGCTTGTACTTTGAAGGTAGGTGGTCCATACCAGAGGCCGGGGGCTAATCTTCATGGGGTCTCCATGTCTCCACTAAGTGGGAAAGCAGCAGAGAGCAGGGAACAAAAGCACAGGGCTGCCTGCACCGGGGACAGATCCTGGAGCGGAGCTTCTTGGCAGGGAAAGATAACGTGTTTGGCCTCAGAAGGCTTTGGTAGAAGAGGGACCTTTACAGAGGTTGAGTGAAGGAAGGTAGCGAGGGCCAAACTGATCACGGTCACAATCACTGTGCTCTAAAACCCATTGCTCCCCTGAAGTATTGTTATTGAGAATGATCAGTGCTCTCATACCATTTTTTGTACCAGCGCAACTCCTCCAGCTCCTTCTTTTACACCTTCCCCTTGCCTCCTCCAAAGTCTGAGGGGATTTACTAGAGGTAACCTCAGGGACGCCTCATTCAACACCTCAGCTAGATCACATGTCCCTGTACAGCCTTTCATTCATTGTATTGTAATTTCCGGTTTATTTACTCTTCCGGCCAAACATAGGGCGCATTCTATTCCCGAATGCCTGAAACTGGGCAGCACGACACATAAAATGTTCAACAAGTTTATTCAGTGTACCAGGATACGCTTCTCATTTACTGCATTTTAATTTTTTTAGATCACTATAATAGTCAAGCAAATAGAAATACATACCAGTCCCTTTTAAATAAAACACACACACACACAAAAAAGGTATCAAATAAGGTTTTTCCCCAGGTACCAGATCAATCTGCTGAGTCCCTTCAAGTCATCAAGGACCAGCTTTACAGCACTGCATAATGCGTTCAGGATCACAGAATAAAATGCAATGCTTCTTAACACATTTTACAAAATGAACAAACCTCTACAACAAAATTCTACAGGAAAAAAGAATGGCCTCATTTAGAAACAGCAATTTAATATCTTAAAAGTAACAAAACCTAGCAAGGTACAAGATCTAAAGTTTCACAATTTTCTCAGAAATGACTCCTATTAGGCCCTCGTTGGCCTTCCTCCCGACCTCACCGGTACTAAAGGGTGGCCCTAGTACTGGCCCTAAACAGGTATGGCTCTGGCTCTGTTGACTCGTACTGAAGCCCGGCCACGAACCAGGGCTTTCATCTTGGTGATTTCCATGTTGCTTTGGGGACTCCAAGAGCATTCGTATTCCGATGAATTGGTGTGAGGCACCTTAAGGTACAGCTGCTGAAGCAAACCTTCCTTTAATAAGCCTTCTCGGGGACCCAAAGAGAATTCTTTGATGGAAGCACACCCCAACCGACTCAGCATCTCCCAGAACTGAGCCTCCCCGGCGCTATTACCTTTCATGCAGGTAAGACCCATGATTATCACTAAGAGACCTAATCTGGGGCCATCTCTTCCCAGATCCTCCTACAAGCCCTCAACAGGTTTTAATCTGTAGGTCAAGATGTGGGATGCTTTGCGGTGAAGCTGTTTCAGCTGGGAAGCAAAAACGTACCGCGATGTTCTGCGGCTCTTGAGGCGATCTTCCGGTGCAGAGCCTTTAAATCTCCGATAACTTGTTTCACCGTCTGGGAAACGTGTGATGAGTTTCTTCCTCCTGTCTCCACCAGCAGAAACTGCACCGAATAGGCAGCCGTCCGATCAGTTGGCGTTGGGAGGCGGCCAGGGCCTGGGCTCGCCGTCTTGGCCATCCTGCTCGCCCTCGGCGTGAGGAGGCAGGGCTGTCCCACTCCCAGGCTTCTGCCACATGCCTTGGGGCAGGCGGTGCCCGGCGAGCCACCCCAGAGACTGCGCGAACAGGCCAGGGAGGTACGGCGGCGGGAGCGCTCAGAGGTCACGGCGAGCTCCACGCTCGCCCACGGCCGCGCAGCCGCAGTCCGTGCTCGCCGCTTCCGGCCTCCGCGGCCAAGATGGCGACCCGGGACCGCGCGCAGATGTCCCGCTTAGGCAGGTGCAGGCGCCCGGGGAGAGGGTGCCTGAGCCTCGAGGTAAACGCTGTAAGCTGTCACTCAGGGTGGGGAAGCGTCCCTGTGTGAGACCTAGCACGGAGTTCCAGCACATTCTTCTCGTAAATGTTTACATCAGCTGCAGAGGCTTATGTGCGGCGCGCTTAGAGACACGTTGGGGATGGTAAATTAGAGAAGGGCCTCCGAGTGCACGCTAGGGCCATTAAAATTTATCAGGACACATGGGGAAAGACTGCAGTCTTTGTCTGCGGCCTCGGTGGCATGTGGAGAGGATGCCTATTACAGGGCGGAAGAGGATCTTGGAGGCAGTCCCGAAATACTGGCCAGTGGTTAATTGCAAGGTGAGGACAGCACACTCTGCGGTGATGAGCGATACACAGAGGAAGCACATACCATGCTGACTGGCTCGAGGAACGGAAACATTTCCCCCAACCAGAACTACTCTTATTTCTCCCCTTGGTGACCTCTTACTCCCGGCGTCTCCCACTTGATGTCCCTCCTCCTCCCCACTCTGAAAATTCCCGCTCCTACTGTGTTTTCAGATCCTACCCACCGTTCCGGGGCTAAGCTTCAACATCGCCTTTCCAAAGTATTCCTTGGAGGTCATGCATAGAATTTATTTGCTGTTGCGTCTGAGTCACCACAGCAATTATGTTTATTTACCATCCAGGTACTCGATATTCACTGTTACTTCTGAATCACCATAGCAATTATGTGTATTTAGCATCCATGCGCTAGGTTTTGTTGTCAAAGCATTTCCCCTATATTCGTCTGATTCTCATTAAAGTACTACTGCAATCACCAACATTTTACAAATGGTCGTATTTTTCCTGCGGCATTTGCTATTTGCGAATAATCTTGGACAAGTTTAACTAAAACTCTTTGCTCTTCGGCTGCATTATTGATAAAAATGGGTCTAACCCGCCAGTGGTGGTGCCTTTAATCCCAGCACTCTGGAGGCAGAGGCAGGAGGGTCTCTGTGAATTTGAGGCTAGCATGGTCTACAAAGCCAGCACTGTTAGAGAAAAACTGTCTCAAAAAAACCAAACCAAAACCAAATCAAAAACAACAATAGAATTCAAATCTAGCCTGGGTTACATAGCATGACCCTGTCTCAAAACAAAACAAAAACTTTGAAAAATATATACCCATTAATATATATCATAATATCATATAATATCATATATGACTTATAAAAACTTAAGTGTGTGGATGAGACAGGAAGATGTTTATTATAATCTAGCTTGGGGCCATTGCTAGTTAGATTGTGCCAAACGTTTTATGTACAATATAATTTAGTCCTCCCAAATCCCTATTAGCAAAGTATTATTATCCTCATTTTACAAATGGGAAAACAGTCACAGAGAGGTTAAATTACCTGCCTCAAACCACTCATCTGTTAGGTGCTAGACTGGAAATGCAAACCCAGATCTCAGAGCCTTTCCGTGTTCATGATTGCCGGCTGGACTGCCCGGCTGGTGCCCTTCTTAAAAGGACAATGCTGAAGACAGAACAATGCACCTGTTACAGCGAGATTGGTCAAGGAGGAGAATCTGAGGAAAGGAGTACCTGAGATAGGATGATGGGGAGCTTTGTAAGGGACAAATTAGCAATAATTTAGATGGCTTTAAAAATACTAACAACACTTATTTCAAGTGAGCTATTATTTTTTTATTAAAATACCAGCTACTTTAAATCTACTTTCTTCAAAGCTTCCCAAAGTCCCCCCATCCCATCTTCCAGGTTCATGCATAGCTTCACTGTTAGTGCTACCCTTACCGTAGATTTTTAAAAACTTTATCCCTTGAGGATTTCACACTCATATACAATGGAATATGGTCATACCCACGTCCCATTTACTCTGTCCATCTCCTGGATCCCTTCCTGTTTAATTTCTTACTCTTTCCCTCCCCCACGTCTAAATAACCACCAAGTCCAACTGGTGCTGCCATGTGCACATGGACATGGGGTTAGTCCCTAGAACATGGGCAACCCATCCTGCCCGTACCCCAAAAGAAGAGTGATACCCCCCACAGCAACTAGCTGACAATTATCAATAGCACCGCAGGGCCTCTTGAGTACCCCCGCCCATCCATGCTGGAATTGTGCTTGGCTTGGTCTTGTGCCAGTAACCACAGGGGCTGTCAGTTCCTGAGTGTACCAGTGTTGCTGAAATTCCTTACCTGCAGGGGAGACATAAAGTCCAGTCTTCCTCCTAAGGTCTCAATGGTGAACCAAGGTACAGGTCCACTAAAGTAAGTGCTGGGAAGCCATGGGTTTATTAGGCTCACACACATAGCAATGGGTGGCCTTACTGCACTGGAAGATCTGCACTCAGCAGCGTATGGAGAGATCCTGTCTCCACAACCAAAACCAACCGTCCAACCTCAAAAAAAAAAAAAAAAAAAAAAAAAAAAAAAAAAAAAACCAGTTAGTTACCCCACAACAGTCATTCGACCACTGGGCACCGGTGGGCACACCTCGTCCATCAGGTTAGGATTATAGGATGCAGGATCTGGTCCTAGGTAAAACCGTTGATGTCTTTCCCCCCAGCAGGCTGCATAGCACCTCCCAGCACTGGATAAGCTGGTCAGCAAGGAGGACATTTGACATTGATTTTATATGTCCTGCAGCTCAGTGTGTTGGATCTTACCATGTAGCTATGAAGGACAACCAAGAGCAAGGCAATAGCTTGAGGGGTTTTTGTTGTTGTTGTTGTTTGTTTGTTTTTGTTTTTGAGACCTCTGGGGTCTCCCTGACTCCTAGGGAGTTATCCCATACCTCTTTTTTTTTTCTTTTTTCTTTTTTTGGATTTTCGAGACAGGGTTTCTCCGTAGCTTTTGGTTCCTGTCCTAGAACTAGCTCTTGTAGACCAGGCTGGCCTCAAACTCACAGAGATCCACCTGCCTCTGCCTCCCGAGTGCTGGGATTAAAGGCGTGCGCCACCACCGCCCGGCTTATCCCACACCTCTTGCACTGTGATTTTTATTTAATAACCCATGGATTCTGGGAGCAATGTTGTCCATCCATGCAGGGTACTTACATTCAAACACCTTTTTAAAAATGTATTTTGAGGGGCTGGAGAGATGGCTCAGTGGTTAAGAGCACTAGCTGCTTTTCCTGAGGTCCTGAGTTCAATTCCAAGCAACCACATGGTGGCTCACAACCTTCTGTAAAGAGATCTGGTGCCCTTTTCTGGCCTGCAGGCATACATACAGGCCGAATACTGTATACAGAATAAATAAATAAATAAAAATTATATTTAAAATATTTTGAAATTAGTTTCCTTACTAGTAGGGTCCCACAAAGGTCTTCCAATCCTTAATTGTGGTTAACTCCTCTCTTTCCCCACACAGCCCTGCCCGAGTTTAAACAGTTCAAACCTTAACCTCCAGTGTCCCCTGCCATCTTCTCTCATATCACATGTGTTCTACTGTCCCCTCCAATTATAATTCTTAGCTGGTTGTGAGACAGTAGGGTTCCACATGGCTTTTTCATGCCCGTTTCCTTTGGGTTACCCCTCCCCTTTCACTGATCCTCTCCCTGCCTAAGCCTTTCCACGCCCCAGTCTTCCACATCTCTGCTTTTGTTTTATTTATAATGTCTCCCTCTCTCCCTTAAAGCAAATGTCCCTTTCTCGTTTCCTGGCTTCCACTTGTGCTCTGAGTTAAACACACAGAACAGATGAGTTGAAGCTGGATCAGCCTGTGAGAGAGAGTGTGCGGCGTCTGTCTTCCAGGGCCTTGGTGACCTCACTCAGTATAATTTTTTCCAGCTCCATCCACTTACCAGAAAATTTTATGATTTCGTTTTTCAATACTTACTTTTTGAACAAGAACAAACTGCTGACATTACATGGGTGAACCCGACAGACATTACACTAAAGATACAAAAGATACCGATGCTCGGGTTCCATGTATTCAAGGAGATAGCTATGGTAGGATTCTGTGTATACAAGGCAGGGTAAACTAATCTATGTGGTATCATTAGGACAGTGGGGACTGGGGGTGGGTCTGACTGGAGAGGGGTGGCAGGAACTTCCTGGGTAGATGAAATGCCTCTGTAATTTCAGTATAGGAATACATTGCTTCCAACTTGCCAGACTGTATTGACTACCTATGCATTTCACAGTTTACAGATTACACTCCCGATTCATAAAAACAAAGACTCTCATAGGTTAAATGGATAGGCCTTCAGATGTGAGGTGGAGGGGGCAAGATGGGGGCATAGACTTGATTTTATCCTTGCCAGTCCCTAGACACTACAATGTTGTACCGAGGGACAGAAGCAGCAAATTTCTCCCAGTTCTTAATGTATCTGCTGTGTCCTGGAAACTTTTCAAACAATCCTTATCTGAGCTGTGGAAAGAGAGGAAGGGGCTTTCTCTTTGGCAGGGGGCGTGGCAAAGCAAGCACTTTGGTGACTGTAGATCAGAATCTTGAGGGCCCTTCATAACCCTTGGTTCCTAGCACAGGAGGAGGGGTAAGGAGTTACAGTGGAAACAAAGAATTGCAGGGTTAAGGCTCCCGGAATGCCTGGTACTTTGTGGAGGTGTGGGAAAGGTGGCAGAGTGTACTGACCAGGTTCTTAGCCATCATCCCGTGACCCTTGCACAGACAGTGCACCCGGGACCAGTGTGTCCTCATCACTGGGCTGGGTGACTCTTGCCTTGTCCACCCCACAGGGTTATTTTGAGGTTCAAATAAGATTGTGAAGATACATTTTTTAAAGAGACGTGATAGAAAAATCCTAGTAATGAATGTGTAACTGACCTCTCATACAGACATTTCAGAATGAGTTTACACATTCCTGTTCCCAAAAAAAAATGTCTGGCCAAGAAAGATTAAACAATGAAATGTCAAGTACAGACACTGCATCGGGGCCAGTGAACACTTTGTTGGATGCCTCCTAAACTCGGGCTCGGGAGTCCTCAGCCTTCATATGGGTGCTAAGAGATGTGCTGGCCCTGCAACTGAGTGGGCCCCGCTGCAGCAGTGCCTCTGTCTCCCCTGCTCCCCTGATAGTCTTGACAGCCATGCAGCAGCCCCAGCTCAAATAAAGGCGAGAAAGAGCTTTGTCTGTCCCCAGAGCCCAAGGCAGTAAGAAGCCCAGTGCTGTCAGAGTGGATGGGCAAAGCATTAGGCTTCAGGCCTGGTCGCGGGGCTGGGATTGAGACAGGATGGCCAGGCGAATGATTCGATCTGACTTGGGTAATGAAAATTGTTTGTTGCTGTTTGAAGAGCAATTGTGTAAGCAACAGTACTTCTGTGTTTGGCTGCCTGTGACTCAGCGCCCGACTGTAACATAACCCCAAACTCAGAGGAGGTACAGACTGTGGGCAGTGGAGGAGGGGAGGCAAGAGCTGCAGGGGCAGAAGGCCCCTTCTCGTTCGCCCTTTTTTCCCTTCTCGCTGTCCCAGTCCCTCTCCAAACTTCTAAGGAGAGTTGGCGAGAAGGCCTTTGCCACCTGGACACAATGAGACCTAGTTCAAGGGACAGGCTAGAAGCTGGCGCAGAGCCAGAGCCCCGGTTTGAATGGCTGTTGCTGAGGGGCTGCCAACAGTACATCTCAACCCCCAAGAGGCTGACCCAGGAGGGGGTGGGACCACCCCCCACCTCGGAGGCACAACTCACGCCATTTGTGGACCAGGCCGTGATCAGAATGTGCAGGGCACGGTGGCTTTGAGCGTTGAGCCGGGGGCCTCTCCCCTCTGCTGGCTGTGGGCTCCCTTGGATTAGAGCCTGCTCCGGGAGTCCCTTTGTTGGCTGCTTGTTATTCCGCATGCACCGAGCGCCGCGCATTCATCTTTATTAGTTCTAATTGCTTCCCCATTCTAATGGGATCTTGATATTCCCATACAATTGAAAGGAAATGTATTCATTAAAATAATTCTTCTAACTGCCGCTTCCAGCTGCTTCCCTAAAGTGACATTGTCTCTCCCCACAGCCTGCCCAAGCCTCTTGTTAAGACTCTAGTCAAAAGCCAACTTTGGGCAGCAAACTTTCCTCGCAGGAGTTTCCAGACACCAGAGAGAGGGTGCTTTTTAATCGGCTCACACAGAAGTTGGAGGCCAGCTGGTGTAATTGGGGGCGCTGGTCCTTGTGGATGAGAGAATGGCTTGCCTCCAGCTTTGCCTCCTGCAACAATGACCCTTTCTGCATAACGGCTCATTTGGAGAGGGCTCCCCCCCTCACTCCCCGCTCACATCATGTATGTGAAGCTTTTGTTTATGCCACAAGCAGTTACTAGGTGTGTTCTAAGCACAGACTAAGGAGCTGTGGGAAGTAGGGAGGCGGAGCTGCACTCCGGAGGTGTTTATGGTCTTGGTGGGTGGCTCCCAGCCAGCTTCTCCAGAGCTGACTGTCAAAGGAAGGGCTGAGAACACTCTCAGTACTCAAAGAGAAAAGAGAGCTCAGTGGGTAAATGCGTGAATCTGAGTTCAGATCCCCAATATCCATGTAAAAGCAAGGGGGAGCAGAGATAGGCAGGTCCCAGGTGGCTTGTTGGCCAGCCTTTATGGTTGAAGCCGGGAGGTAGAGGATGGTAGAGGAAGACACCTAAAGCTGACCTCTGGCCTCCACACATACATGCAAAGGCAAGGGTACCTGCATATATGTGCGTGCACATGCATACATCACACACTGAACTGACCAATTCATCTTTAAAAGTTTAATTTTTGCTTTATTTATTTGTATGTTTGTGGGAGGGGGGACTTCAGTCCCCAAAAGGGAACTTCAGATCACCTGGAGCTAGAGTTACCGGCAGTGATGAGTGGCCCAAAGTGGGTGCTAGGACCTAGAAGAGCAGGAAGCACTCTGAACCAGTAGACCATCTCTACAGTCCCCCCCCCCAACTAATTCATTAAGGGAATGAAACATTAATAAAGGTTGCTATTATTTAAGGTATATCTCATGACCAGGCATGGTGGCGCACGCCTTTAATCTCAGCATTCAGAAGGCAGAGGCAGGTGGGTTTCTGCGAGTTCCAGGCCAGCCTGGTCTACATATCAAGTTCTGGGACAGTCAGAGCTACACAATAGAGAAACTCTGTCTCAAAACAACAAACAAATAAAAAACAAAAAGTAGAGACATAAGTGTATTTCGTAATATCCAGATCATGAGATTGTAGGTAAATACAAGAAACTTCTGAGACCTGCGGAGACACTGATCTACGGAAGGAAATTGGCAGTTATGGGAGAAGTGGCCAAGTGAACACGTGTAAAGCATCCGTGGTGTGCAGAGTGCAATAGGAGCCAGGAGAAGAGGGAAGGAGCCTGGGTTATGCACTGAGCCACCTGAGCCTTACGCCATTCCTGTAACAACCCTTCGAGGGGTTTAGATGTGATGGGGAAGCTAGGTAACCGTGTCTGGTGTGAAGAACCGAGTCAGGATATGAACACCAGGCTTCTGCTTCCAAAGCACAGGCATAGCATGGAAGCTGGTCCTTTGCTCTCCCTCGAGGCCTTTGGGATAGTGGGTTGGTTGTCACCAAGTAGATAGTGTCCCTGCAGGACTGGGAGGAAGATGGCATGTCAGGAATGGGCAGGAGTCCAGGTGGCCAGTGATGAGTGATAGGAAAAACCCAGGAAGCATTACGAGGGTCAAACCATAAAAAGCCTTGCTTGTCAGATCTTGAATTTTGTCCCAGTTGTGTCTGTCTCCCAAAAGGACACTTGAAGCCTCTGCACAAACACAGTTTTCCTTCAAAAACATCAATTTTCCTTGAGGTGAATAATTAAGCAACTTCATATAAAAGAAATTCAGACATGCTGTGCAACACACTGTGCATGTCTTAGAGATTCGCAGGGCTCTCTAAGAGAAAGCAGGATTTCCAAGAGAGCAAGGGCCTGCTGGCAGGGGCGTCGGGCTGCTCAGTCCCCTGTGAGAACAGAAGGCATTTCTTTCTTTCGTCTGCTGTTTGGTGGACTTCAGTGGTAGAGTTAGAGAAATACTCTGTTTTGGACAATATGTTTTGATCCCAGGAATAAACAATTAGCGGTATTTCCAGGAGGGCGCTGGGGCTTGGACAGGGTGCGGATGGAGGGCGAGAGGCCAGTTTGGAGACTGTTGCTATGAATCCTTATTAACAATGCAGAGCCTGAGGGTTGAATGGACTTCAGGGCTCAGCCTGGTCCTGGACTTTTTGCAGGGGGCCTTTCCTGGAGCTGCCTTTCCTCCATGTTTTTTTATTTATTTGTGTGGGAAGGGGATTCATGAAGGCAAAATCTCATGACAGAGGCCAGAGGCCAGTATTTCACAGTTGATTCCATCCTTCTACCATGTGGGTCCAAGAATCAGTTCAGCAGACTTGGTGGCAATCACCCTTACCCTCTGAGCCGTCACACTAGCTAACATCCTCCCCCCCCCCCCCCCCCCCCCCCCNCCCCCCCCCCCCCCCCGGCTTTCCTTTAACAGGTTTGGTATAAGAGTAGGATGACCAAGCAGGCTGTAGCAGAAGGTGCCAGGGGAATACCCAGGGAAGAAATGGGTTTTTTGGGAGGTGCGGGGGAGTTTGAAGCCTGTCCTGGAACTATCTCTTGTAGTTGATCTTGAACTCACAGAGATCCGCCTGCCTCTGCCTCTTGAGTGCTGGGATTAAAGGTGTGCGCCACCACCGCCAGGCAAGGAACAGGTTCTTCTAGACAACCTTTGCTGCCTTTGGTCACTCACTACCACGCTTTCCTTGAACCACTTCTTGGTCCAATGATCTGTAACCTACCTACTGTGAGGCAAATGCTAAATGACCCATTCTTAGGAAGCCCGCCCTGCCTCAGCATCAGGCTTTTCAAGTACAGGTAATTTTGTTGTGTTCAGCTGGAAACAGACTGCTAGCCAGTTTCCCAGCTGCCCCAACCAGAATAATCATACAGAAACTCTATTAATTACAACATTTCTTGGCCTATGAGCTCAGGATTCTTATTAACTAACTCTTTCTTCTTACATTAACCCATTTCTATTAATCAGTGTATCACCATGAGGCTGTGGCCTACCCATAAGATTCTGGCATTTCTCTTCTTCAGAAGCTACATGACATCTCCCTGACTCCGCCAATTCTCTCTCTCTATCTCTGTTCAGATTTCCCACCTGGCTTTACTCTGCTAAGCCATTGGCTTAAGGAGCTTTATTCATCAACCAATAAAAGCAACACATATAGAGAAGGACCTCCCACAACATTCAGCATGGCAGTTGACACCCTGGCATTCAGGGCTACTCAAGGGGACTAAAGAAAGACTAAGGATGGGCAAATTGTTTAGAATATTTCTTGAGGAATCTGTTTAAATTTTTTCTTTGTTTTTTCCAGACAGGGTTTCTCTGTGTAGCCTGGGATTAAAGGCATTCGCCACCACTGCCCAGCTTCAGAAAATTTTTTTAAAGATCATATTGTTTATTATTGAGAATAGAGATACTTCTGCTGTAAAAGGAAGGAAGAAAGACAGATGGAGGCACACGTACAGAAAATGGATACTTGGGAGCATACACTCTGAAATCTTCTTAGTATATACATTTATATTTTTGAAAGTAGCCATCTTCTATACATTGCTTTGTATATGTATATCTTCACATGTCCTGAATCACAGTAACAAATTTTGTTTTAGAAGGTAATTGTGAAAAATAATAACCGTGAGGCTTATTTAAGGAAAGGTTTTCTTTCCTCTGTAGTTAAAGAAACAAATGTAGGTCAGGTTGTGGTGGTAGCGCACGCCTTTAATGCCAGCACATGGGAGGCAGAGGCAGGCGGATCTCTGTGTTCAAGTCAACCTGGTCTACAGAGTGGGTTCCAGGACAGCCAGCGCTACACAGAGAATCCCTGTCTTGAAAAAACAGTGCAGTCATCTCAGAAAAAGTAGAAAATATTAATAATTAAAATGAAGTAACTATAACTCTTACCAACTAGAGATGAGCACTATTTATATTTTCTAGTTTATCTTTCTGAAGCTTGCTATTGCTCAATCTATATAAGAACCACACAAATATGATATTTTAAATTTTTTTCATGTGGAATTCACTCTGTAGACCAGGCTGGCCTCAAACTCCCAGCAATTTACCTGCCTCGGCCTTCTGGAGTGCTAAAATTAAAGGCGTGCGCCACCTCCCCAGGCTACGTTTGTTATCTGTGATTTAGCTGAAGGTTAGCCTTTTGTACTCCTCTGAAATATTGGTCCAGGTTTTTTCCCAGTTAGCCAAGCTCCATTTGTTTAAAAATCGTCCTGCCTCTTAGGTTTGATAAGTATGAAACAGGGGGATCACACCTGTGTTCGGTTCGGGTTCTTTTTTTTTTTTTTTTTTTTTTTTTTTTTTTTTTTTTTTTTTTTTTTTTTTTTTTTTCGAGACAGGGTTTCTCCGTAGCTTTTGGTTCCTGTCCTGGAACTAGGCCTCGAACTCACAGAGATCCACCTGTCTCTGCCTCCCGAGTGCTGGGATTAAAGGCGTGCGCCACCACCGCCCAGCTGTGTTCAGGTTCTTTGGGGCTCTCTCTTCTATGCCGTTGCTCTGTCACTCTCTCCAGCATCATGTTTGGTCACTGTGTCCTGTTGAGTGATGTATCACAATTTATTTGGCTAGTTAAGTCTTATTAAACATTCAACTTCCAGGTTTTCAGTATTCAAAAAAGAAAGAAAGAAGGAGAAAAGCCCCCAGTGACCGTTTTGAGCATGCAAACATGTAGTACATCAAATCTGTCCATGGGATACATTTTCATATGTAGAATTATTAGATCAAAGGTGTGGGCCTTCTTGGGCTCTTTTCATACTTAGATTCAAAATATCTTTCAGAAAGAATGTAGTGAATCCCCTGCCTCCACGGGTGTGTGAGAGCGCCCATTTCCCTCCCCAGCGCCCCCCACCCGTGTGAGAGAGCGCCCATTTCCCTCCCCAGCGCCCCCCACCCGTGTGAGAGAGCGCCCATTTCCCTCCCCAGCATTATCATTCTTTTTAATCATTGCCAATCTGATCAGCAAAGCAAAAAAGAGTCCCTCATTGCTGTTTTAATTTGCCTTTCTTTGAATGCTAGTGAGGTTGAGTATTTTTTCAATTTATGCTGGTTTTTGATGTACATAAGTTTTTAATTTTTTTATGTAGTCAAATCTATCAATCTTTTCCTCTATGGTTTCTACTTTTGTTGAC